CTCTCTCCACGTGGACCACCAAGCTGGGCTGAGGTGAGCAATGTTGCTATGTATCATGCCTGACTGTATTATTGTATTATCTCTCATGCTCTCGATGACTTTAATATAATGCTTATTATATATCTCAACCGTACAATTGTGCATTACTGAACCCAGAAGTAGTATTACTGAACCCGTTGAGTCATAGTAGTATTAGCGGTGGGGGCTGGCACCCCACCTCCCTCAGCGACATTATATTTTTTATTTAATACGATAGCCCTCCAAGGGAAAGAAAGATGAGGCTTTCAAGTCCCATTAGTCTGGGGAAACACAGGGGCAGTTCTACGATGGCCTCCTATAGCAGTGGTTCTCGATCTGTGGGTCGTGACAGTAGCAAGAGCACAGCCATGAGGTAGCAACAAAAATATGTTATGGTTGGGGGGTCACCACAACACGAGGGTCATGACATTTGGAAGGTTGAGAACCACTGACAAGATGAAGACTATCCACCGTCTTCTCTCTGTCCAGAAGCTGATAGAAGACGGAAGTAGCACTGATGCGACAGCTACTGAAAGTTAGGCTCTTACATGGTTTGGCATTTGTAAGTTAGCATTTTGGCCTCAACAACCTTTTGACTTCATGGGGACCCAAAGCCTTGCATAAAGATGAGTTACCTTTCCAAGCTAAAAACTAATGCTAACCAGGTACCAGTACCGGATTTACCAGTATGATCCAGAGAGCAAGATCCAATAAAAACAGTAGCCTTTGAGTGGATCTGTTGGGCCAGTTGACAGGGAGAGGTCAGTTCGGGTTATGTCAACTGGTTTTTGTGGTTTTCCTACGAGTAGTTTGATAAAAATATTCTTGAAGAACAAAGAATTATTAAAAAATGAGGACCTAATTGGGGGGGGGGTTTAAGTGGAGAGAAAATGTTTTGAGAATGATGAGGGCAATGAATGTGCAAATGTGCTTTACACAATTGATGTGTGTGTGGATTGTGATAAGGGTTGTAAGAGCCCCCTAATAAAATGATTTAAAAAAAAAAAGTTTTAAAGAAAATTGAAAACTGCACTGTTGAAAAACAGGTTGAGTTGTGCCAAGGAACTTTTTTTCCCCTGTCACAGTGGACCGCCCATCCTCTGAGGGGGCCACAGGCTAGCCCATGAGAATCTTGTTGGGAAACCTGACCTCATCTACCCTCCCCTCCAGCTGCTCTTGCCCCTTCAGAATTTTTGTTCCCAAAACTCAAAAGAAAAGTAACGTGTGTCTAACTTGAGGATGCCAAACTGCTGTTTCCGTGTGTAAATTGAAGATTGCTGAATTCTGAATTCTGGAAACACCTTCAGATGTGTAAAGACATAGAGGATGTCAAACAACAAGTTTCATATTTTGATACTTTTGTTTAATAATGGTTTCTATGATTTTGTAGCAAAAGTTTTTGAAGCACCCTTGCATCTCCATTGCTATTCACGAATTACTTACACCATTATGCAATAGGTACAGTATGGCAGAAAGGGTCTCTACCTTTCTGGCCTTTAAAATCTAGCAAATATCCTAGTGGTGTCTCTGCCTCAAAACATCTTGTCCATATTTAACTACAAATAAGGAATCTTTTAATATGGTTATCAGGCCTTTTCTGTCTATCCTTCTAACTTGGTTCTCTACTAATTTGTTTCTAGTTATTTACCAGGACCTACCTACTGTAAGGATGGCCAGAGTGCCAGTACATGTAATTTGACTTATCCATCAGCTCATGACCTAAGATGTTATCATCTCTATTTTAACTTTCCCCTCTACTAGGCCGATCGCTCACTTGTTATATGCGCAGAGCCTTGCAAAGTGCTTAAAGACAAGTAATGGGAGTTGGTGAAATAAAGTGCCTGTTTCCTCCACTGGTCATCTAATGAGCACTGCCTCAAGCCCCATCTACCTATGTTCTTGTGTAGTAGGAAGGTTCGATCTGCCAAACTTCCCTTAAAACGTGACCATTGGTCAATACATAGTTGTTTGTTGTTAGATGCTATCCAATAGACTTCTATATTTACAGCAACATATGTAACAAAGGAGAACAGTCCCATAGGGCTTTCTTGGCTTGACTCTAGGGAAACAGATTGCCAGGGTATTTCTCCTACAGAATTTTCAGGTGAATGATAACTACCAGGAATTTTTTATTGTTGGTTAGCAGCAGAGTGCTTAGCCATTTGTACCACCCGGGCTCCTTGGTTAACACACACCAAACCAAATCCACCCAGGTAATTTTAAATCTTTGTGGGAGCACTTTCATCTTCCTCCTCCTGAGTGGCTAGTGGGTTTGAACTACCAACTATGTGGCTAGTGACCGAATGCCTAACTCACAGTATTATATGTAAAAATGATTTAGGGAAGGAAAATTGGACTTTGAATTGTATTACTGGTAATTTGTTACACAAGGCTGCCCTCCCCTCTATAAATCTGCTGAAAGGAAATACACATGTGCCTGAATTCAGATTGGCCCAGACGAAAAACGTTTCTCCTTAAAAAAAAAAAAAATGCCATTTCATCACCTTACAAAGAAAATGTTCTCACACAAGGCAATCCAAACTGATGCAAAATATTTATTCCAAGTTAGTTATTTTATGGTTTTCCCTGTCATAACAGACTTGTGATAGCCACATCTCTTACATCTGTAAATAATGTTATCAAAATAATCTTAATCTTTGAAATCTCACAAAAATTTTATATTTTACAATCCACCCTGAATATCAAGGCTGCAAGCATAACACAACATTTCGTATATCCAAATATTTTACAACTGTACCCAGAAATAAAACAGAAGAAGAAAACCACATTTGCTTGGTTAAGGGGCTAAAATTACCCGAGCAGCCAAAAATAAAATATCCAAATTATTAGCATTAATTTAATACAATTATAACTTCCATAGTCACTTTGTCATTGACAATGATTGCTTGAGCATAGGGCTGAGTGCCCCAGGGGCTGGTAGTGGAAGCTGTTGCTGCAGACCACTGGCTGCTTCTCTGCACTGCCAGCTTCCACCTGTGCATTGCCCCATATAGACTGTGTATGGGTCTCTCTCTATATATGTATTTAAAATCTTTCCCACCACACAAACTTTTCTCCATTAAGCAGGAAACAGGGAAGAAGAAGAACAACAAAAGCTAAACAAGCCAATCGCGCTCTCTCTTTGGGATATGATTATTTCCCTTGTGCATGAAGTATTCAACAACAACATAAAGAAAAAAAGAACAAATTTCTTTTGTACACTCTCCCGCAACACACAAGTCAAGTTTGCTGGGTCAGATTTAACTGTAGCAAGTATATGCCTACTTCCAGGCATCATCATCGGATGTTTCACTGCTACTGGTTTCTGTGTCTGAGTCCTCAACGTCTCCTTTACCAGCACATGGCCAAGGAGAGAACAAGCAGGGTCTTCGGCTCTGTAAGCAGCCGTTCTTCTCAGAGCCATTGCTTCTTAGCTGTGGGTGGCCGCACAGGAGAGAAAGAAAAGAGAAACCAGTAATGACGACACTGTTCTATGGGACCTGGGAAAGGCCAAGCCACAGTGGAACTCACTGATCTTTTAAGATATTTTAACAGAACTTTTCAAATATTACCTACATGCATATGAATCATCGAAACATCTTTTAAAAACTCTGTTCCGTATATCTGGGTTGTGGTTCGAGATCCCTTATGTCCAACAAGCTCTCAGGATCACAGTTCTCATTAGCAAAGCCTGTGTCAATCAACCTGTACCTTCTCTTTGAAACATCACAACTATAATGTATGTTTTAAGTTTGTGACATCAGAACATAAGTTGGCAGAAAACAAACTTCTTTTTCACTGCTATAAGCCCTGGGATCTGGCAATTATTTGACTCAGGAAAAGCATCTAGGTATTTGTTGAATAAACTCCAATTTTGGTTTCTTAGTTCCAGCCAGTGAGCCAGAAAGAAACCGGAGATGAAAGTAGATACCTGGAGGTAGTCTGCCTTCCACTGGATGAAAGGGCTCTGAGGCTCAGAACCTATCTTTGAAACACTTTTTTTTTAAAATCAGGGGAGAGCGCGAACGCAGTCCCCCGCTACCACAAATTATGCAGTCGAGTTTCCCGCATTTGGGGAAATCACAGGGGTCAGCACATCCGGAGTGCAATGGACAAGCCTCGTCCTGGGAAAACCACCTTCGTGATCATGGTATCTCCCTGGCCAGGTAAGTATGATCACACACTTCTTTAAATCTGCCAACCAGACTGGTTTTTGGACCCAAAACTGGAGATACCTATTGTCCAGGCAGAGTTAGATTCTCTAGCTCTGCACATTTTCAACTATTCAAAGTCACTTTTATTTTCAAGGTTTTTCTCTCACACTAAGCCAGTGTTCCCTTGTTAAATGGTGGCAGAAGAGACATGTATGTAGCTGAATGGCATACCTGTTCAGTCTTCATGTGGAACTCTCTGAGCTCATCCTCTGTGAGGGGAAGGCAACTTTCATCATTTTCGGGATACTCCTGCCATCCCATTGCTTTTAATAATCTGAGGAAAGCAGAAGGGCACAAGGGAAGCATGATACCTTTAAGCCTGAGCAGCAGCCTACAAGTTATGGAAGGGATTGGGTTCTTCTCGTCCGTTAGCATGATGTGCTATGTGTGCTGGCTTGCAGGTTGCTCTGATGCACAAGTATTTCACATACCAAAATGGGCCCTCATGGTGAGTACGTTTCAGCAGAGATGCCAGACTAAGGCAGACTAGGAAGAAGGAAGGACCTGGTGATGTACTTTAAAAAAAAAGGCCAGTGGACAGAAACATGCATGCAGTGACATTTGTGTAGAGTGCTGGATGATGAGCCCCTCAGGCAGGAAGGCACTTAAAACACAAGTAGAGAAGAAATGAGCCTTCAATATTTGCAGAGGGAGTAAAGCTTTTGGGATCTTAATTTGTTGTGGTGGAACCACTCAAAATAAGACAAAACAGCTGCAAATAGCTATTATTAATTGGAACATGGAATGCATAAAGAGATATTCTAGGCATTAGTGAGAAGAAATGGACTGTTTGGCTATGCTGAATTGAAGAATCATATGGGAAAGACAAAGCAAGTATCACATTTATCATAAAAAAAAATTCAAGGCTATCATACATGAAGGTAATAGGTCTTTAAAAAGAGTGGAAAGAAGGCCTGTCTGGATAGGACAGGCTGGATGAACAATCTGGAGGAGAAAACAACGGGACTGACAGTTCCGGGGGTACATGGGAGAGGGGGAGGAG